ACACTACAGACGAAAACAGACACTAATTGCAATTTCTCAGTCCACAATATATACGCATTTTTGGCACAAAGACCTCAATGTCAGTATTTACAACACTGAGCCATGGTTGTCACTATTTTCTAAATTTAGTTCATCATAAGTAAACATTACTTCTGCAATGTCCACATCGTGAATCATTTTCTAACATTTAACAGACAACCATCTTCATATGCTCCCAGGAAATAGAACATTGATTCAGGACAGTGACGTCATCACAAACTATAATGGATCGAAACAAAGTGGAATCAGAAAGAATTTCAGCTAGACGGATCAGAAAAATTCTGATTCTAGCAAACACAACTGCGACCACATTAAATGAAACTTTCTGACCACAATAGCGACCACGTTAAGACATGTTGGTTATGATTTTGACAACGTTGTGTCTGTTCCACTCACCTTGCAGACTGAGTCTTTCTCACCATAACCTGCTCAGGGACCGGATTGTTCGGGTAGCGGATGAGTAGATGCTCCCCTCCAATTTTCTTGCCCTGAAGGTGCTTCATAGCAGCTCCTGGTGCAGACAAGTCCCTGAAGTTGATGAATGCGCAGAACTTCTCGGGCAACAGACGGACACTTATAACAACGCCAAACCTGAAACAGTAGCATGTGAAGATCACGCGACTTCTGTTCTGCAAACAGAAGGAATCAATTGGAACTTCACTTCACGTACAAGTCACTTGCATGCAAGAATTACCTTGAAAACAGTTCTAAGAGTTCCTTCTCCGTTAAACTCTGAGTAATGTTGCCAACCCAAAGAGATAAATGGCCTTCTGGATTTGAAGGGCTGAGAAATCAAGAAGAGAGAAATAAAGATTTGAACAGTGTTCCTTGTTTTGCAGGTGGGATCACGAAGCAACACAGCATACTGGGATAATTGTGAACAATATTTCAAGAATAATTTCATGCCAACATCATACCAACGGTACAAGCAACACGGCTATTGTAACACTAGTCTCAGACTTAAATTTAAAGAAAGTTGTGTCATTGTCAGTGATGTTTATACCAGAGTAAAGTAAACCAAAATTAAATTTGCTCTTAACTCCTTTTTAAGTCTGTTTAACAGTTTCAGAGATGATGTATGTGGGCAAATAAATGGACACAACATCACAATTTTGACTTCACTGTGTGTCGAGAATGTACAATAAGAAGAATAGATCACGGTATGCTTCATTACAACAACCGGCAGCTTCAGAAGAGCTGATTTAACCACAACATACCAAATACAATTATACTCACTCCATCTTGTTTGTTTTTCCACCGATCTGCGGAGTCTGCAATGCAGCTGCTGCTGAAGACACAAACAAGTTTTCTACTTCTTCATCCGAGTAGTAGATCTCATCTCCACTACTGTTAAAAGAAGCTACCGGACTCTTAGTCGTTAGTACTTCCACAGCCACCTGCCACATGCATGGACAATTAATTTATTATGAGTTCCAGTGGTTCTCTTACAGAGATACTCATTTTCTCGCATAAAGTCGTAAGTTCATAAAGGGGTGGTGGCAGCAACATCAGTCTATGGTGTGAGGAAGTGATCAGATCTAGCAACATGCTACATGTACTCACCCCTAGCAACAAGATATAAGACACTCCAAGGTCACTGCAGAGTGCTTCACATGCACTTTAAGAGGTGGTTACCACCAACTAGGTACAAAACTGTAGTGGCACAAGCGCGGGTGCTGCCCCTGATACAACGGGTGTGCTGGCAGCAGCAGATAAAGTGGGGCACAACAGCTCCCAGATATTTAGCATATAGTACACACAGCATTCCTTGAGCACACAAATATACCCCTGACCCTAGTGTGACTGACTACTATAATTCAGCTGCTCACAACCTATATATACATATAATTTTATTTTAATAATATTTCCATGCCATTTACGCCTTAGTCTCCCGAAGTGTTAAGGCAACAACAGAACAGGAGGTCCCTGGCCCATACCTGAACTGAGCTGAATTGCTGAATGACTGCAAATGCCTGGTCCTCCGCAAAGCCCATCTCCACAAGCTGCTGTATCTTCACATTCTCCAGTTCTTGCTTTGCATCCTCACAGTCCTCGTCCAACTGGACCACATGTTCAAACGCCTCTTCCGCTTTCTTGTATTGCTAAAACACAAGTCCATAATGCATTATCCCTTCCCAATAAAAATGATGGTGAAATTACTCCTATGCATATCACCGTGTGTGTGTCACGATGAACACCCCTAGCAGAACACCGGACCCTTACCTAGTCTCTTCAGAACGATGAACACCCCTAGCAGAACACCGGGCCCTTACCTAGTCTCTTCAGACATATTATACTTCCAGCACAACCTGTACTCAAAACTAAGCATCTGTAACACGTATGAGGTGCATTCCAAAAGTAAATTCCATTCTATTGTTAAAAATCTATTCCTAGAAGCAAAGTACCACTTTCCACAGTCTCGTCCTCCCTACACAAATCTGCTGTACTATCTGACATGCCAGCAGACTGCTGTCGCTAGCTCTATCCTTCACTTACTGCGTTAATCAAAGTAAATCTTTCAGCTTTGAGAAGAGCCAGAGAGGGCCGTCTGGTAAGATTGAAATGGGAACACCTCAACTCCTTTGCCAATAAAAAGTAAAAAAGGCACCTCAAAAGTGGCTTCTCATGACATTCAAGGCAAATTCAATTTTTTTAAAAATCAAGCACAACTTATCTGACATTTGAGGTGATCATGACGGTGAAGAAGTTGGCTGTGGTCTTTTGGGTAGTCATGCCTGAAGATGGAGGCACATGTTCTTCTAAATCATTGGAAACCATCTACAAGACAGCACATCAGAATCCAAAAGACCACAGTCTGCAAGTTCAACTTATTTTGGAATACAAATAATGGAAGTTGCCAAGTAGCCAATGGAACTAAATGCAGAAAAATGTGTACTTGTTTCAGCTTTTCTACAACTCACAACAGTTGCCATATGAGTCCCTAGCCATGGATCCTGCAAACCAGCAACTAAGGTATAGGTTCAGGCTCTGGAGAGATAAACATGAATCTACCTTCAATTCACGAAGAGCTTCCCCTCTCCTGTAATAACCCTTAGGACTGAGCGGTGCAAACATGATCGCTTTGTCCGCGTCCTTCAGTGCCCTGAGAATAAAAGACAGTAAAACATTACAACTTAATTTTAAAGTTCAGTGTGTAACTGCAGACAGGATGCACCCATAAAGGTTTTTGATATTAACAACTATTGACATTTGAAATGGACAGCGGTGGTTACAGCTGATATTTGCATTGCGAAGAGAGAATAGTGGGAAAAGTTCTTTCAGGTGCAGAATAAATAAATACAAGAACAGAAGAGACATTACAAATTAAAACAAGATGGAAATATCGAAAACACTTAACAATAGTTTTCCAACCACCAATGCAACTGCCAATATTCTGGAAGAAAGTACTGCCTCCGTCTTCAGGTCAACGTCTAAACCTGAGGTGGAAGTGACTGGTTTGTCCAAAATGCTGGTAATCAGACAGCACAGTACACCACAATTCAAATTTTTACCTATGTGAAAATCTTAAATTTTGTAAAGGCTCACCAAATTTCACTAATTGACCCATTAATTCATTGTTTATTTGACAATGTTTTTTTAATTACATTAATAAATATTAGTAAATGGGACAAGTTTCATGGCTACAAATGATAAACTAGAGACGATGTACACGCATACAGCTGCGGCCTATTTCGACGCATTAAACTAACATTTGCCTGGAAGACCAAGGAACAAGACCTAGCACTCGTGCTAATCGTAACAACTCACTTGGCAAATTGTCCCAGCTGGCAGTAACAGAAGCTGCGGTTCCCATAGAACCTATGGTCATTATGCACAATGCGTATTGCTTTAGTGAAATAGTCTACAGCTTCCACGTACTGCTCTCTGCTTGCAGCATTGTAACCCTCCACGGCAAGTTGCTCACTCTCTAGCACATCCAGATATTCTGCATCCTGTAACAGACATGCTGTATGTCACCACCATCCTGCTACTTAGTTCTACTTGTGACTGACTGCTCTTTCATGAAGCGTGCAATACTTGTTCTTATTTAAAACCTGAATATTTATTATGATTGTACGTCATTTTAAACATCAATACCAGCTTTATGCGAACTGGTCCACCTGAGTAGGAAACTTCCTCCCCTGGTACTAGATAAAGAAGACAGAATCAGTTTCTGAAAAGGCAGATTTGAAAGAAAAATAAACTTTATGGTGTCCAAAAAATAATAATTTTGTCTATGATGGTTTTTATGTGCTTAATGCATCAACTGCATGCAATAAATTTGAGCCATTTTTTTAAGGAGTTTACTTAACTGCAACATAAGGCTCGAGTCCAAAATGTACTAGAATGTTACGTCCTCCAAATGCGACGGTGTTTAGCGTGATTTCATATAGCAGGTAATCGACCAGTATGCACCAAAATTAAATTTGCCCAACAACTTATGGGGTGTAACCCAACAGCACATTTCAATTAAATCCATCAAGTAGTTTCAGAGATGAAACATTGATGTACAACACAACAACATTACTTAAGTTTGTTTCTAAAACTGCAGACTACTTAATGATACACGTACTGTGGATCTCTTGGTGTTACTGGTTCGCTGGCTGCGGTCCATGTGACTGAGAGCTGCTGTACCGTAACCTCGCTTATTCTTACTCACAGCAACAGATACAAAGGCAGAATTTGGGTCTAAGAAATCCTCTTCCTCTTCATGATCATCCTCTGGTTGTGCAGGATAACTATCGCCGTTCATTTTACTGTGGACAGTACAAGACTCATTTAACCTCAGTTAAAAACCAAGTGAACAGGCAATAATTCCTTGGCATACCAAATATAACCACACGAATTCCACAACGCACTCTTCAATGACAGAATCATCTACAAATACAGGGCTTTTATCAAATACATGGCACCAAGTTAGAGATGTGTTCTATGCAAATATGGGTCCTTGGATACTTCAGAGATTTAGCCCATTTTGTAAAATAACAAAGGGGAAAATGAATCCAGAGGAAATTGCTCATCTACAAATCCCTGCTTCCAACATTACCGACGCAAAAAATGCTCAAGTGTGTTTGTGATTACACACAATATACTGCACATATACTACGGCTTGTCACACATGCTAAACGTTCCAGGCATATTATGATATAACACTAATAAACACGTCAGAAAAATTATCTGCATATTGCCTTCATTACTTTTATTGTTCAAACTAGGGAGACTCAAAGGAAAAAAATTACAGGAACACACAATTTAACCTGACCTCTGTTCATACATGATATGTCATAAACAGTCTAAATGACTTTTACCCTGAGACTAGCTAAACGCTATGTGAGCGACAGAGCCCGCATTTAGTTAAACAATGTAATTAAGTTTCCAACATTTCATAGGGTCATATCACAACCATTTTCAGGCAATATTATTCTCCAAAATGTTGGTAATCATCTACACAACTATAGAACGCCAAACCTACAGGGTCACTACCTCGCAATAGGAATCCCTACACTTGCTTTGGCTGACCCTGCACCACAAAATGAAAGTTCTTCACACAAAAACTAACGAAAATCAGCCTCTGTTTATGATATTGATACCCAGGACTGAACCAGAGGACAGGCAGTAACACAACAATGAAGGCTGGAAAAAGGGCCACTGGAATCAGAGACATAATTATTTTTCTTCTCAATGAACCCACCTTTTACTACTTTTACTTGTATTTTTTTTACTGGAATGACATGCAGTCTCCTTTTTATTTCTATTAATATTATTGTTGCTGCTGCTGCTACTGCTACTGCTATTATTTTCATTTTTAGCATTTGTACAATTAATTTCCTTTTCCTCTCTTCTCTTTTCTCTTCGTCTCTTCTTTTTTGCTTTTCGTTTTTCTACTTTCCGTTTCTCACGTTCCTCCTCTGCCACCAGTTCCTCCGCGTTCTTCTTGGCGACCTCCGGAAGCATCGTCGGCAAATCCCTTTCGTTCATTCCTGAAACAGAGTCTCCTAGAAGGCACTGCTGTTTGTTATTAAATAACTCATTCACTGCCAAACCTACTAACCAACTAACTAAGTCTCTCACAACAGAACTCAGATGTTCAAAACTGCTAACACCATGAAGCTGATGCAGTTCTATTCTTTTCCCACAAGATCCAGCTTAATGTCTGTATCTGTCTCCATCTCAAGTAACTACCACATTTATAAGTTGCTTCAGGTCATCATATATCTCATTACTCACTATAACGTCGGCAGGACTGTCGAATGTTACCTTTCTTTTTCCGCAGGCTTTTAAAGAATTTCACTCTCTCGTCCTGAACCCGTGCATGCTGCAACAGGCGCATCATAAGTTCGTGGTCTTCAAGTCCATTACTGGACCCAGACATGCTATGGCAATCATCATCATCATCATCGTCATCATTTGAAATATCAGAAAATGAAACAGCAGATTCTGAAATAGAATGATGTATGACTCAATTAACTGTGCATAACTGAAACATCCCTATATTTGTATCAAGTACTGCTTATCTGTTTCCATTTTCCCAACATTAAATATTCTGATAGGCATTCTTATGGCATCCTCTACTCACCCCGGAAAAGTCATGGATTACTTCAAAACCAGGACATAAAAATATCCAGTGCAGGTGGACAAGTACGTCTTGCAAAGGAACAGTCCAGTTGCTCAGGCTCAAACCTCACCTCAATTTTTTGTTTGTTTATAAGGCCCATCCCATAACGATTGGACTTAAAGTTTCGGCTGTCAATGTGCTGTGCAAAGGTGAAAAAAACTGCTCAAAGTTGAACGTACAGTTCAAATACATGCTGCCATGAGTACACGTGATGGCAGCACGCCTAGCAGTGGCATGGTATTCCATGACAGTTTAATAGCTGAGATAATAAAGAGAATACTAAGTAATGCTATGGAATGAAGCCCTTCTTGTGAAGCTTACAGTAAATTCAACCAGCCAAATTTCCAACATTTTATGGAACCCAAAGGTTCATTACTGGGATCACAGGAGCCTGCCACCGGTCCCTATCACAAGCCAGATGAATCAAACACACGCACCAACTCTATTTCCCAGAGACTCTCCAACACTCTCTATAGCTCAGACTATTCAGTGTCAAATAATAGGATGATTAATGAATAAAACCACAAAACCCCTCAGTCTAGATAACCAGTCTCTGGGCTGACATTTTAACCCAGAACCTCTCAAACAATGTAAGGAAAGATGTATGCACTGTAACTTGGCATTCCACAGCAACAGTATGCAGCCACAGATGTAACTTGCAACATACCAATGACTATGAAACAAGAAGCTACATTACTCACCAATCATTTTGTATTGTATATCTAATCAATAAAAAATGTAAAAAATATACCAAAAATAAACAAAAAATTGTGGATACAAGACAAAATACCAAAGAATACCTAAAATCTTCTTGTAAACATCATCCAAGAATTACATTATATTCACACCCTAAAATCTGCTGAGTGTTAATTCACCACGAATATAATTATGAGGCTTGGTTTATGGTTTCTATTGTATGAACTACCTGCCACAGAAAACTGGGAAAACTTAAATCCTGATGTCTAAACATAACATGCTAACCCAAGTGGCTTACAAGTAAGAAATGCTAGCTTTCCACACCCAAACTGCTTTCTTGCTTACCACTTCCCATGTCTTGTCCAAAATACACTCGGAACTTATGGACAACTTGAGGATTGCTGGAATATTGAGGAACCTCCTTTGCCATTATTTCTGATTCTCTCGAAATTAAAAAACTCAGAAAACTAATTTAGGTTAGGTCCCTCGAGTAACACAATAACATATTGTACTTCACACAACATAGTGTTCATTAAATACACTGAAAAGGCTAACAAAAATGAAACGTCAGAATCTCACATAACTTCAATTAAATGTCCTATATGTTACATTAGTAGCAGAAAACATGTTGTAAGTCAAATAAATTCCCCGACTGCACCATCAGTACCTACTTTCAATTAAGCGATCGTTTCCTCTCGTTGCTTTCCGTTCGTGGCACGAAGACAAAAGAAATGGCGGTATCCGCTGACTGGCTTTCGGTTTTTTATCAGGAGGCCAGATTCCATAACCGAAAAACACTAATCAGTTTGAGAAAATTTTACTACATACTAAACCATTAAATGCATTATTTTCACCTTCACCGGTGCTCAGGTTAAGCCTATGAAATAATCAGAACAAATGAGATTTCAGGTTCTTACGGCGGCGAACATCAAGATCAGAATAAATTATGATGCACTATTCAGGAAATGGATTCCTAGTGGTGCCTTTAACCCAGACTTTCGCATTAACGTCATATAGTTATTGATGGGGATTGAACTACGACGAAATAACCTCAAAAAATGTTTTTCACACCATTTGTTCGAGAATCTGTCCAACTGCTTTAAACATCAATTTGGGAGATAAATATATACAGACACGTCTAATGAATGAAGGCTGAAGTAACATTCGTTTAAAAATATCTTTTAAAATAGTGTAGTCTCAGCAGATCTCTTACCAGAGAATAAGCTGTTGTTGTAGAGTATAAAAGGGATATGTGGCAGAGACTGAAAACTTCACTGAAGAATCATGAGGGGAAACTTTTCACACATATCTGAGACTGAGCTGTGCCAATCGAAACTGAAGCCTGTTTGATGAAATAGCACTTAAGTTCTAGTTCTTATAGAGCCTCAAAGCCCACCCACAAGTTAGTTTAATTTAATTCACATCCCATCAATGTCTTGCTCTCCAAAGTAAGCTTTCATTAGACTTTCTAATTTCCTTTTTGTTTTCACATTTATATTTACTTAGTTACTTGTAAATTTGCTCTCCTAACACTGACAAACACAAATCTGTGCACCTCCAACAAGGAACCAGTGCCATAATGTGTTCAGAGAAGTTTTCAGTAAGCTTTATGCTTAAATTGCAATTACATCTCCTCCTTTTTAATTTTTTAATATCATTTTAAACTTGACCTTACAAACAACAGTTCAGACTACTGAACTATTAATCATTTTTGTTTACAATCACATCAATTTTAAAATTGTTGCTAAAAATATCTTACAACACACAATATGGTATACTGTAAAATTATTTATCCATTTAAGTAGGGAGGATTCAGGGATGGGATGCACTGGTTTGATGGTTGGCGGCATGCAGCCCTGTGTGACAACCTTCCCAGCAATTTCTTTACACAGCCAATAAATTGTAGTCATGAAATATAAAGTGGCTGCCATATTTTCCTGTTCCATCCATGTTAGGAAATGGGAGGATAAAGAAAAGAAACAGTACAAACACCAAAGTCTTTATGGAAACTGAAAGCAATAAGTCTTCTAAATGATCACGGATATTGATACAGAACAAAATTGACAGGTTTTAGATTTCCATGGCAATCAGTATTAAAAGGGCTGTGTTGCAGGATGTAGCACCACGCAGTCCGGTAGATACTGGCCAATGTTTCACTGCCTCAATTCTGACAGTTTGGAAATTGAATGCTATATGGATCTGAACATGAATACAATTTTACAAACCAAGTGAGGATGCTTTCAATTTTATCACATAAAATCATCATCAGGGAAAAGGAATAAATGTGTTGGGAAGGTTACCAGCACTGCAATATGATCACAGGTTGGTAGTCAGTCAGCATTTTGAAGGCACCAGACAGTAACATCCTCCAGAGAGGCATTCAGGCATCTCCTCACCTCAAACATAAATCAAAATTCCACCAACAATAAGGCAGGGTATTACAGACCCAGAGCACAATGTGCGCAAGGATATTTGTCAAAATGATTTTAAAAATCATCTTCAGTGTCATGAAAAATGGTACTTAATGCCAAACCAAAACTGAATTCAGTACATACATTCCTGAAGGGACCAGTTCTAGAGCAGTTAAACTGCGTTAAGGAGAAGACGGCTGTCTTCTGGGGTGTTTCACTGTATAGCCTAGTATATACTGACTGATCTTTCAAAGGAACTTCATTACTCTATCATCAGGGTGATGAGTCCTGATGATGAAGGCAGAAAGCTCCTCTGAAACATTGGTCAGTATACACCACAGAACACAGTGCAACACTCAAAAAGACAGCCATCACCATGAAAATGTGAAATCTTACCTGTGTTAAGGAGGTTCACTTTTTGAACCCCAGGTGATTTTGATAATTTTCATCTTCCTCACCAAAATAGTAATTTTGTACATCTATTAACCATGCCAGTTCATATCTCTAAAAACACACGCTCCATCTCAATTACAGAATTCAGCTTTTTTTAAAACATATTCTGAGAAACAAATAGAACCCACTCACTCTGAGAACAAATGCTGGGATATTGAATGTTAAAATAATTATGACTGCCCTATAAAGATAGAACATGGCCTGCCTCCTCCTACCTTTCATTCATCTAAGGCTGCGCAAGGAGCCCTGTCAGGCTGACTATTCATGCAGTCCTGCCAACGAATTTAGTGGTACTCTAGCTGTTATTGTTGAAAAGCTTGAGCAATGTTTCTGATATTCTTACAACAACAGGAGACAGGTCTTCATTAATATCTTAAAATATGTTACTGGGATAGCTTACTAACAATCCGAAAGCAAAACCCAAACAGTAGTAAACCATGCAATTAGAATAAATTAAGAGTTTTATACGAAATAACTTGCAATCAATTTATGAGAATAAATCAATAGAACAGGGATGACCAAAATACATAAACAGATAGCCAGACAAGTGTTCATGCATCCTATAGATCCTCAAAAGAATGGTGTCTGACACGTCACAATTTGGTTCCATATGTCAAATTAGGCCGTGATCGCAGCCAGGATAGCTCAGTCAGTACAATGACTAGCTACGAGCTGGATGGCCGGGGTTCGATCCCCGATGGAGGCAGAGGATTTTTCCTCTAGCCTCTGCGTCCAGACGGGCTCTGGGGCCCACCCAGCCTCCTCTACATTGGGTACTGGAGTCCTTTCCCGGGGGTAAAGCCGGCCGGGACGTGATGCCAACCACTCACTCCATCTAGTGCCAAGGTCAAGAAAGAGAGGAGCTATACCTCCACTCACCCCAAATGCCTGTATGGCACGTAGCGGGACAAACTTTACTTATTTTACTGTATGTGAAATTAATATTTTAGAACTTTTGGTTCCAAATTCAGCATTACAAGAAAGTCATATAAGTATGCTCCAATTTGGGTGAATAAATTCTACTTAGTTAATTAACTGATGTTCTCCCAACTGGATGGATCATAAAGCGTCAAATTCAAGGACTGATGTGAATGAAAACATTGTGGGGGATGTGGGAGGAGCCAACTGTAGCCAGTTTCATGGTACTATTCCAACATTTGCCTGGAAAGAATGAGGAAAATCATGAAACACCTCAATCACCACATCAGGCCTCTGGTAACAATTACCAGACAATGACTGTCTGTAATAATATACAGGGATCAACAAAGATTAATTTATGTGTGTAAAAGGAAGTAATGAAGATAATTAAATTTTAAGCTCTTTATAAATGCATGCAGCCTGATGAAGGCACGGTGGTAGCCTACAGCTACCCTTGTCATGTTCCCCATTGCAAAGGAACTATAATGGTACTCATGGACAGAGGCACCAAAGTTGAGCAAGTCTGAACATCCAGATACCTGGGACAAATTTCTTTACAGCCTGGGTAATTAGTACCTAGTTTCAAATCTAAAAGTTCTTGACGATGGTGATGAGTCATTTAAATAAAAATTTTCTTGGATATTATCCATCGTCTAGTAAATAAAATATAAAATGTAAAACGACATTTCGGAGATGGGGCTCTATCTCCGGACAACTTTTTTACTTTGTCCAGAGATAGGGATTAGCTCTATCTAGTGGGCCCAACTGAGTAGGAACCTGAAGACGAAGACAGAGCCCCATCTCCGAAACATCGTTTTACGTTTTATATTTTATTTACTAGACGATGGATAATATCCAAGAAATTTTTTATTCAAATAGTACCTAGTTTTTCTAAACTCTGTTTGCATCTAGCGAAAATGGCCAAGCTGCTAGGAAAATCTGATGAATTTCCAACTGGGTCTGACTGTGTTACAAATGAGAGTGACTCATGACCACAATAACAAATCCACGAGCTATTCTATGACTGCACACGACCTTGCGGTTCTAACAACATTTAGAGTTCAAAGAAATAAACTGACTGCCACACATTCTCATATAGGAAAGACTTGTTCTGTTTTGAACAGCACACAACAAAAAAGTTCAATAAAATTATAAAAATAATGAAACAAACAAATTTTAATTACATTTAAGAAGACAGTCTTTATACATCAACAGGCTAGGTAAGCACTTTCAAGTAAATGATCAGCAAATATAAATGATATAATTATTTCAACAATAAAATAAATGATGTAACATCCATGCATCTGAGAATAAACCAAACAAAATGAATAAAGTCACTCAAAACACAATTTTTGTGAAATGTGAAATGACACAATTGCCTCAAATATGTATTGTGTACCACAGAAGCAGCAGATTCACACACATACATAACAAAATTTGTGATGAATACATTTGTTATTAGTATCTTAAAGTAAAATTACTTTATTTTTTATGCTGTTGTGTTCCCATTTCTTATGGAAAACTCAAACTGATGGTTGATTACCTTCTGTAGTCTTCACTCAACAGCCTGTTTAAAACAAATTATTCATTAAAATTCTAATTTCTCTTAAATATACAGGTATAATTTAAAACATTAAGCAAATTGCAGATGATTTTTGATTCACACAGTTCAAATATGAAATACTAAATACGACCATCAGTAAATTGTGAGTAACAATTCTTTTTCTATTATACTTATCAAGATATTATGGACAGACGTTCAGTGTAGTTCTGAAGAGAGTAACTGTATATCGAGTGGCACCTTATACATATCTTTATGGTAACACAGCTGTCATGTGTGGCAACGAACACAGCGTTGGTTAACAGTGCTTCTCGGATTTGAGAGTACACAGTTTTGTCTTTACCACGTGCTGAAAAAGTGCGCAGGTTCCGATTTTAAGTATTTCACGAACAAATTTTAAATACGTAAATGTGCTATTTTGGAACAAATGCTATGGAACGTGAAAACACTCGAGCGTCCCAAGAAATATCAAAAGTTAGTTAAAAATACAAATCTCTATAATTAAAAATGTGAGGTCTTGTAAAACAGAAGTAAGCTTTGAGATATGAAGACACTAGTTCCTGAAGGAACAAAACATTTCTTAAAAACGCACGATTCCACA